CAGTAGTATTATAGTAGTAGTAGTAGTAGTAGTAGTAGTAGTAGTAGTAGTAATAGTGTACTAGTAGTAGCAGTAGTATTATAGTAGTAGTAGTAGTAGTAGTAGTAGTAGTAGTCGTAGTGTAGTTTTAATAGCAGTACAGCACTAGTAGTACACAGTCGTGCTAGTGGTTTCAAAAATACTAGTAGTTCGAGTAGCAATGAACCAGCCCACCCAGCAAGCCCTGAAGCCCAGGAGCCAAAATGAGAAGAGGAACACCGAAATTTATGAATGGAAGGCCGAACCCTAAACCCTAAACCCTAAACCCTAAACCCCTAAACCCTAAACCCTAAACCGCGGAAGGCCTTCAAGTTCGTCGTTCGCGACCTGGGGGAGGAGCTGGCAATCGATTTGCGAAACCGCCATTTGGCGGCAGATCCTGGGCTGTCTGGGAAGTACATCAAGAAGTGTCTCAGCTCATCAGAGTGAGCACCATGCATGTACACATGTTTCAACCCTGCATGTACACATGTTTCAAGCCGCCAGTATGTTGTAGCTGCTCAGGCATCCAGACTTCCCAACAGTGGAGGAGCTATCATGTCGCATGCATATATGTATATATCATGTCTGATCATGATGTGCCGCTGTATTGTCCCCTCATGAGCGGCAGGTTATGCAACTCCTTAAAGTGTTCAAGTCTCTCGAAGATGCCACAGACAAGCGCGTGGTCAACGAAGCCGAGATTGACTTGGAAGCGGATGTTGATGCAGACGAAGCACTGGATCAACTGTGGCTTGCTAGCTGTAGATCTGAGGTCTTGCTACTAGCATGAATACATACCTGCAGCCTAGGGAGAAGATTGTCGCCGACGGTGACAAGGCAGTTGGAGGAGGTAATTTGCCGAATCCAAAGAACAGAAAGACCCCTGCCACTGCCGGTGGTGAGAAGAAAGAAAAGACTTGGAAGGCCAAAGCCCAGGAGGTCTGGATTTTCCTGTTTTCGTACTACATGTACAATGCACACGACCCACGACTTTCAACAACGGAACATGTGTAATTTCTGTCGGTCAGGCAGATCGCAAAGCCAACGGCCTCATCACTGACAGTGAGGGCTTCGAGACAACATTGATGAAGTCCGGGGTGTGTCATGGCATGCAATCTAACACCCTAAGCCCTCGAAATCCCTTCAAGACAACCATAAACCGAAAACCTCGAGCTCAAGAAGCAACGAATTTATCGTACACATGAACCCAATATCCCTTAATTAAAGCCAGTACTCCTAAACCCCAAACCCCCAAAACAACTAACTATATCTTGCCCATCCACACCATAAACCCAGTCCCATGAAGCATCCAGCTGCCCAGCTGCAGGTCGGCCCACTATCGCGAGGCGATACTGATGGATGTGAAGCCTGCAGTGAAGAACCTGAACGACACCAAGACCCGGGTGAGCCGTGCCCTGGGGAAGAAGGAACCCGATGCGACGCTGCAGCCGCTGGTGGAGGTGGCTGGGGAAACACACCAGGCTTTCTGGAATTCTCGTGGGTTCGTTCATAATTACAGCTAATACAATGTGGCAGCAATCCGATGGGAGCTGAGGCGCTTCTACAAGCCATCGAGCACTTCAAGCAAGTTGCAAAGCCGGTACGTGATGCCGAGCAGAAATCCTCAGCTGCTGCGAAGCCAAAGGGCAAAGCGAAAGCGAAGGGCAAGAGTGCTGCTAAGTAGGCGCCCAATGCTGTTTTGATTTTGCTATATCGTAGAGGGCCCTAGTGTGCAAAGCATAGCAGGTGCCAGGATCCTTCTGCAGCTACCCATGTAGAAGCACGCAGGTGGAAGTGCCACTTCTATTATGGCTAGATTTAAATATACGTCTTTAAAATGCTAAATACGTACTCCACCTTCTACCTGTGTTGTTTTCTGGGTGCTCGGGGTGCAGAGGGGGCATCGACGAGCATTTGTCAGGCTTTCGATCGATCGCCGGGGTCTTTCTACCACGACCCACGATACGTGTCAGCAGTGCAGTCCGCCGGAAAGACCGGAAGCGATGCATGTATTTCCGATGTAACTTTAAACCCTAAACCCTAAACCCTTGTTTGATTAGGGAGCCCTGAAGTAATATTAATCTTGTAGTTATATGTGTACCGTATGGCGCCAGATACTTTAAATCCCAGCTAGCAACTCATCGTAGCTAGTTAGCAAGCTAAGTGCCTATATGTACCAGCATTATGTTCCCACAAGCCAAGCAACCACCGAGGTCCCAAGTGGTCCCTGGTCCTGAGAGGATGCAGGATACAGCTTTAGGGTTAGGATAATGTTTATTTGGATTTGTTGGGGTTTAGGGTTTAGGGTTTAGGGTTTTGAACCGCTTTGATGGGAACACCCTGTGCTGTTGAGGGAGTGGTAGCGGTAGTGGGTATACGATACGAATGGAAGATAATTAGATCAAGGTAGTGGTTGTAGTAGCAGTATGACAACTCCTGATACAGACTATAAAGGACACTGGCTATATCGTATTATATCTATGTATATAATATATATATATATATATATATATATGTTATGTGCTCCGGAGTAGAACACTCTTAACTCCAACCTCCTAAAATTAACCCTATGCCCCCAAAACTACCCCTGCAGCTCAACCCCAACTGCTTAAATTCTTAAACCCTGCAATCTTATGGCCTAATTGAATCCACGATACTTCAATGATCCTGCTGTTGCACTCGTGACGAGCATCCTTGAAAGCCCTAGCCCGTGGTAGACCCCTTCGCGGTCACGCACACTAAACCCTAAAACCTTAAACCCCAAAACCCTAAAGCCCTAAAGCCCCAAACCCTAAAACCCGTAAGCCCTAAAACCTTAAACCCTAAAGCCCTAAAGCCCCAAACCCTAAAGCCCAAAGCCCTTAGCCCTAAACCCAAACCCTAAAAGCACCCTTGCTCCCTGCAACAGGCTGTAGGCCCGTTCGATAAATTCTTGCCCAAGCCCCAACGCAGGTGAAGATGCCGGGCAGTGGGCAGAGCCGGAGTTGGCAGCGCACAAGCCGCAGCCTGATGTCAGGATCGAAATATTATTAATAATATTTTATTATCATCTTGCCTCCTGAGGCTTCGAGCTTTGGGCGAGGGGCGACAGAGCGCCAAGGATGTCATCGTTGGTGCACGGGCTGCTGTGAAGGACCCGAGTGCAAACAATAATTATACATGTGATGCTTTGGTTGCATGTACGGAACAACTCCAGATTTCCTCTCCCTCCTGCAGGAGTGTGGTGAACAAAATACGAGCAAAGTGACCAGAGCAACTGCGAAGATGGGTGGGAACCTAGAGAAGAGTGCTCAGAACTGCAATCGTGATCTCTTCCGATTTATGCGGCTGCCCTTGGCTACTTCGGCTGCAAGTTTAACCCCTGTGCAGAACGTGCCTCCAATCAGCAGCTAGGAAGCAGCACCATTCCGCATCCTGCGATATTGGGCCCGTGTTCAAAGACATTCTCTAGTGAATCCAAGGACCTGGTTTGGGTAGATGTGCCGCTTCTGGACAAGGAAGGCCAACGAGTTATGGGCAAGCTTCCAATGGTGGACCCCCACGAGTACATAGAGTATCTCCTAACCACGAGGCGAGTCGTGGTCCCTGAAGACGACATCCTGTACCTTGCAATGCTATATAGACACCATAAGCCCGGACACCCTCTTTATACGTTGCATGGCATACGTATACGTGGCCCTAAAAATAACCGAGGTGCTACTGGAAGCATTTCAGATCTCTGAATGTTGGTTGGGCCTGCCGGCATCCAGCTTCAAATTCTGCAATGCCCATATGTGTATTTCGCCTGCATTATTCATGAGTGCAGCATGGTCGTCTGCTGTGCATACTACGACCCATGGGCCATGTGACAAGGTGTATGGGGATGAGGCAACATTTTCCAAAGCCAATGACCAATTCCTGGCGCTGATGTTTTCTTTTCCCCTTTGGAAGCAAAAAGGCCATGTGTCGATAAGGCTTCGGGTTTTCAGAGATCTAGGGCTTTCGGGTTTTAGGGTATATGGGGCCGTAGGGTTTTTATGGTGTAGCGCTTTTGGCCTTTGGGGCTTAGGGCTTTGGGATTTTAGGATATCGGGTTTTAAAATATTTGGGCCTTTGGGTTTAATTTAAGTGCTCCTACAACAGGGGATCCGTGGACAAAGAACTTTGTTTTCTTCGTCGTCAACAGCCTCCACTCCACAGGTGCTGCAACTGGGCTGCACTGTTCGTGTGCATGTACGCTATATTAGAATTCCAAAATTCGTTGCGAATCCTTCAGGACACACTGCGGCCGATATACCATCGATTTGCCTGGAGCATGACGTGTGCCTTCGAGGCCAGACGGCCGAAAGTTGGCCCAAACGGTGAGTCACATGAACTTGGCCCCAGACAGCGAAAGCTGGCTGGAACGCCTTTACACAAGAGCTGTGCCATGACAGAATTTCGTGGTGATTGGAAATACCACGTTCAGTGCTTTTCCCTCAGCAGATGGTGGAAATGCAATCGGGTCTGTCACAAGTGTGACGCCTCTCAAACAGCCCAGCTGCACGGCACTTTTGAATTTGTTGGTACTTTGTCGAACCAGAAATCCACTGCTCCTGATGTCTGGGTTTCTTCCCGATCCGAGGCATGGCCCAGTGTTCTGGAGGTTCGGCCATCAGTGGCAGCACCTCACTACACAGCAAGCGATTCTCCGGTCGATGAATTCAGTGAACCCAATGTGCCTGATACCAGGATTCGACGTAACATGCATGTGGCCTGGCCTCTTGGAGGGATGGAGGTAGGGGGGACCTGAATCCCTCAAGTCGATCCTGCACCTTAGACCCAGGCCAACTATATATGGGACCCAGGCGATTCTGCACGATGCATTGTTTGAATTTGGGAATCATGCAAACTTTGGCCTGCGAGGGGCTCATCCACACCATGCCCTGCTTTGCCCGAAGCCCTGATATCGATGCTGCTGCTTGCTTGCGAGACCAATTCGCGGCTTTCAAAATGTGGTGCAGATCTCACAAGATTTCGTGCTCCACAAGAACTTTCACACCTGCCCAGCTGCACATGAAGGATAAGGATGAGTTCCCCTGGCTGGGAACAAAAGCTTACAACACACGTGTGATTCTTGCGTGGTTGGCAGCCTCTCGCTCGATTCATCAGATTATGTCCAGCTGTTCTTAAACATGCTAGGGCTAGAGTGTAATAATGTTTTATGGTAGGATACGATCACCAACTAAGGACCTTCTGACTTCTCCTGCCATACAAGCACAACTGACAGCCCGCAGACCCGACGAAACTCAAGATGTATACCGTGAACGCATTGAGTTGTCCGATCTTGTTTGTAGCTGTGTGCATCCCGAAATCGAAATAGCAAATTAATTTCTCCGACTTAAACCCTCCAGTTATATACACAACCCTAAACCCCCAAACCCTGAACCCTATAATCCAACCAAGGTACGAACTAGCAAAATGGCAACTCCGGTGTGAGTCCTTGCAGCGCTACCTCTCTGAAGATGAGGCACAGGAGCTCTACGACAACGGTGCCCTGTCCGATCAGATTTGGGTTTAGGGTTTAGGAGTTTAGGGTTAAGAGGTTTTTTTAAATGTGTTCGCAGCTAGAGCCGCAATGTCCAGGAATGAAATTTCTGAAATTATTTGGCCGTACAGCCTGGAAGTTTGCACTTCTTGGTGAGATGCGATTTCAGCTACGACCGAAGATGCACGTTCCTTCCTCAATATCAGATCATTGAAGCTTCAATTTTATTGGGCTCGTATAGGCCTTAGACTTTATGTTCGTATCCTGCAGTCAATCCGCACATGTTATAATAAGGCCTTGGAAGAGGTTCTGATCGACATCCGAACAGAAAGATTCTTGGATTAATTACAGTTTAGAACTAAGCCCTATACCCTAAACCCCTTAAGGGTTATAAGCACATTGTTGACCTGCTGATCTCCCTGAGGGTACAGCCCGCGATATCTTCATTGCTTCTCCCAAGAAGATACAATCGGAATCTACAAGCCGCTTTGCGCTCGCTGCAACAGTGGCCCCGGCTTTGAAAAACGTGTTCTGCAGAGAGGCATCCTCAGGACGACGACAGTATTGGGTTACAAGCGGCCTATAGTTAGAAATATACCTAGTACCCCCCTCCCCCCCGGTTCCGATTAAGGTGGCCTTACCCTGCAGGATTGTGGCTTCGCGGCCAGGAGAGCTGCAGCAGCACATTGCCCGATCGCGGTAAAACACAAATCTGTGGACCTGGGACCTGGAGGGTTGGCTTGCAGCGTAGTCGTTAGCCCTAAACTCGTACTACACCCTATAGACCCCTAGAGGGATATATGATATATACACATACCTACGACGGGTGTAGTATTGGGGGACCATATCTCGCGATATAGCCCTGGCAGCGCGCCTATGTACCCAAAAATATTCTTGGTAATAAGACAGTATATGCACGTGTGCACATGGGCAATGAGCAGAAATAAGTCCTCGAGCAGCAGAATCCGCCAAAACTTTGACGCATATGACCTTAAGTCGGCCACGTTTAGGGTGCTAGGCCTCCAATCATAATCAGAACGATCCCTCGGTAGCTAGGCCCCCTGTGTTGGAACCAATTCATTGGTTCCGGGATTTTTCTGGTGACCGCATTTTTCGGTAACTGACCTCAAGGCCCAACTTTTCAGGACACCAACCCCCAGTAACCA